CAGGGAACACCGGCTACCACTTTTTAACTTCAGTTTCCAATGGCTAACTCACCCTCTCTGGCTTTGTTCCATCATTGCTTCTATGTCTCACTACCTCTTTCTATCTGTATTTGTCATCAGCGTGCATGCGCGTACACATGTTCGCACACACGCACAGCCCTAATGAGAAACTGGTTTCCAGCAGTCAGTTTACTATTCTTTCACCCTTGCATGACTGCCTGTAGACAGCAGTTTCCCCACACACAGCGGCACACCCCAAGCTTCCCTCCAGCTAGGGCTGTAGGGGGGGAGGCAGGTTTCCTTATGAGGGCCCCAGGCAGGGTGATGGCCTGTGGGGTGCAACTGCACTAAACTGTCAGTCTGACAACCCATAGTACTTTCCCTCCTCTAAGCCTTTCTATGGTACGTTCCTCCTTCTTGGAATGCTGTTTGCATTCCTCTGCCCAGAAAACATGTGACTCCTTTAATCCCTGGTACAAAGACCAAATTGCTCTTCTCCACTGAATCCTCATCAACCCTACATCTAACCTCTCCTCAAGCATTTACTATTCTCCTGTTGGTGCATTTGCTTCTCCAAGCCCCCAAAGGCTGGGATGCCGGAAATGCTCCTGGAGCTGTATTTCCATTACCAAATATATTCATTCATACTTTCACTCAACAAACATTAATTGACCACTGTGTGTCAGAAGCCATAGCAGGCAAATGTGAAGGAATCAGATAGCGTTTCTGCCCCTTTGGAGGTAAAGAACGTGGCACCATGGCTTGCACCCAGGAAATGGTCAATGGCCCCTATCTGAATGGATTGCACCTTTCCCCATTTCAGACATCAAAGCTGCACATATGCAAACCAGTGGACAGTTAAGTGGGCCAGGAGGAACTCTTTTGTAATTCCCAGAGGCATATCAAACTTGGCTTGTCAACACCAAGTTTATCATATTTCTCAATCCTTTTGCTCCTTTTGTGTTCCGTGTCTCAGTAAGTGAACCATCATCTACAAATTGCCATAGTGGATGGAGAACCATGAAGTCATATTGGATCTCTCTCTCTTTTAAATATTATTCACAATTTATTATTTTGGGGTATAGGCTGTAGAATTTCAGGGGGTGAGAATATTCACCAGAGACAGAGTGGGGAGTAGAACAGGTAGATCTACTGAAACACACTGTTGAGGGGAGCAGTGGTCTGCTGTGCCATGTGGGTCAGCTCCCTGGCTGGGGACCAAACTCAGGCCACAGTGGTGATAGCGCTGAAAGTTAAACTCTAGGCTACCACAAGGGCCCGTTTTTCTCCCCCACCACCTGCTGAATAACAGCCTTGACAATGCGACTTCTTCAGCATCTTTTCCGCTTCTCTTCTTTGTCTTCCTCGGAGGTGTTAAATCATACAGTTCTTGTCTTTCTCTGTCTGACTAATCATCATCTCCTTGTGGTCCATTGTGTGGTCACGAAAGCAGGATTTCAGCTTTCTTTGTTTGTGTGTGGCTGAGTAGCATGTATTCAAAGAAAATTAATATTTAAAAGTGCAAATCTTCCTAACATTGAAAGCACTCTTTGGAAATAGAAGAAAACAGAGATCATCAATCCAATAAACAAATGGTAAAAGACATGCAAAGAAAGTTCACAGAAAAAGGAACTATTGATGCAGGTGACTTTTTTTTTTCAATTTTTTTGATATATA